GGAAGCCCTACATAGGCTCACTGTAAGTGCATGATACACAAAGAATCACAAGATGGAAATATACAATCAGTGTACCAAAACGAAATGGTCGGTGTTCATCCATTTCAGGAGGTAGCAGATCATCAGGAGCCTGTGGTACTGAAGGAAGAAGTAAGTCCAAACTGCACTGAAGACATTGGAGAAAAACAAACTTGATGCAATTGATGGAATACAAACTGAAATCGTTCAACAAACTGATGCGGCACTGGAGACACTCACTCATCAATGCCAAGAAATTTGGAAGACAGCGATTGGAAAAGATCCATATTTGTGCCCATCCCAAAGAGAGGTGACCCAACAAATGAGGAATTCATTGAACAACATCATTAGTTTCACCTGCAAGTAAAATTCTTCTGAAGATAATTAAAAACTACCGTAACAGCACATCACCAGGAAACTGCCAGAAATTCCAGCTGATCAGAAGAGGCTGTGGATCAAGGGATGCCATTGCTGACGTTAGATGGCTCTTGGCTGAAAGCAGAGAATACCACAAAGATGTTTACCTGTGCTTTATTGACTATACAAAAGCTTTGGACTGTGTGGATCCTGTCAACCTATGGCTAACATTGCAGAGAATGCATATTCCAGAAGACTTCATTGTGCTCATTAGGAACCTGAACATAGACCAAGAGGCAGTCATTAGAATAAGGGAATAATGAATGGTTTAAAATCAGGGAAATTGTGCACCGGGGTTGTATCCTTTCACCATATTTATTCAATCTGTATGCTGAGCAAATAACTGGAAAACCTGGATTACATGATAAAGAACGTGGCCCCAGGATTGGAGGAAGATTCATGAAAAACATGCAGTAGGAAGATGATTCAATCTTGGTGAACGTGAAGAGGACTTAAAATACCTACTGATGAAGATCTAAGACTTCAATATGGATGGCACCTCAATATAAAGAAAACAAAAATCCTCACAACTGGACCAGTAGATAGAATCATGGTAAATGGGGGGGAAAAAAATGAAGTTGTCAAAGATTTCATTTTTATTGGATCCATAATCAACACTCATGGAAGCAGCCGTCAAGAAATCATACAGTGTATGGCATTAGGCATATCTGTTGCACCAAACCACTTAGTGTTCAAGAGCAAAGATAGCAGTTTGAGGACTATGGTATACCTGACCCACACCCTGGTATTTTCAGTAGCCTCATATGAATGGGAAAGTTGGACAGTGATTAAGGAAGACTATAGAAGAATTGATGCGTTTGAGTTAGGGTGTTGGAGAAGAATATTGAAATTACCATGATTTCCCAGAAGAACAAACAAATCTGTGTTGGAGCAAGTATAGCCAGAATGCTCCTTACAAGCCAGAATGATAAGATTTCATCTCTCATACTTCTGACATGTTATCAGGGACCAGTCCCTGGAGAAAGACATCATGCTTGGTAAAGTGGGGGGTCAGCAAAAAAGATGAAGCCCCTCTACCAAACATGGTCCCTCCTGACAGTATGTCCAACATAAGTAAGATGAAATCTCACCACCCTCTCATCTAAGACCAGTCCGGCTGTACTTCCAAGACAAATTGGTTTCTTCTTCTGGCAATCCGTGGTACTTTAAATATTCTTCACCAACACCATGGAATACCCAGTCTGGATGAATCTTCAGAGAAGTAGAGAGTAATAAAAGCTAGTCACAAAAGGTGAACTGCAGATTGCATTCAGGTAACAGTCTTCAAATGACAGAATTATAAAACTAAAGAACGGATTAGTTGTTGCCAGGCCTTAAGGTGAGGACGAAGAGGGGAAGTAACAGGAGATGGGTAAAAAGAGCAACACGAAGGATCCTTGTAGTAACGGAAATGTATCTGAACGGTCAGCGTCACTATTCAGGCAGCAATATTGTACTATGTTACGTCACAGTTATCATTGGGAAAATAAGTCATGTAAATACCGTGAGAAAGGCGAGGCTTTCGTGAAGTCTCAGAAACCCTTTCCAAGGTCTCTGTGAGTTGGAGCTGAGTGAGGACACTTAACAACTTTACATACTGGAACCCTGGTGTGGCACTGTAGGATAAGCACTGGACTGCGGTTCAAACTAACCAGCTGATTCTTGGAAACCCTATACAGGGTCGTTATGAGTCAAAACCGACTCAACAGCTCTTAACAACAGGAGCTTTATTGTTAGATTTTTCTCATTTAGATCTACAATTTATGATATGAAGAGAACAGGATACATTTTTAATTTGTACTTTAAAGCATCATTTGTTGAAAAGACTTCAAGCCACTATACTGCTGTGTCTCCTTATGAAAAATTAAGTAACCACACATGCATGTTTGTTTCTAAACTTGACATTTTGTTTCCTTGATCTACTTGTCGATTCTTGCATTATACCATATGTCTTGACATCTGGTAATGTAAGTGTCCAGCTTTCTCCTTCTGCTTCAGGATTGTCTTGACCAGTCATGATCTTTCTCATTTCATGTAAATTTATAGGTTCAGCTTGTCAATTTTCATATTCAAAAGAAGAATTTCAATTTCAAGGAATCTGTAGAACAGGTGAAGGAGAATTGACATCCTGGTGATTAGTGAGCTTTCAAATCCATGTACATGACGTGATTCTGTTCAGTTAGGTCTTCTGTTGTCTCTCATATACGTGACATGCCGTTCTGTTCAGTTACGCCTTCTGTAGTCTCTCATATACATGACATGCCGTTCTGTTCAGTTAGGTCTTCTGTAGTCTCTCATATACGTGACATGCCGTTCTGTTCAGTTAGGCCTTCTGTAGTCTCTCATATACGTGACATGCCGTTCTGTTCAGTTAGGCCTTCTGTAGTCTCTCATATACGTGACATGACGTTCTGTTTAGGTAGGTCTTCTGTTGTCTCTCATATACGTGACATGCCATTCTGTTTAGGTAGGTCTTCTGTAGTCTCTCATATACGTGACATGCCGTTCTGTCCAGTTAGGCCTTCTGTAGTCTCTCATATACGTGACATGCCGTTCTGTTCAGTTAGGTCTTTTGGATTCTCTCTCAGCAATGTTATATAGTATGTAGAATATGAAGATGCTTCAAAATGTTAGCAGAAAAAAATCCATAATCTTTTCATTACGTTTTCTCAAGAACTTTTTGGAACCCCATTGTGAAGGTTAAATACATTTTTTGTTAATTTTATTCCTAGGTGTTGTTGTTCTTGTTTTAATGCAATTGAAAATGGTATCTTCTTAAAAGTTAACTGTAAAGCTATCTTGTGTTGCGCTCATCTGTAGTTTTATCCCTAAAAAAAAATCTTTAAAGATGTTTTACATCTGTAATGTCTCATCAAGAAGTCTGTCTTAGACCTCGAATTTAATAGAATTTTCATTAGCCCCCAAATTAAGACTATTCTTCCTATCTAATCTGTTATTAAAATTAACAACTTCTGGATTTATTGATGCTCTTTGTTGGCACATCTAAAACCCATTACAGCTCAGTGAGGTACTTAATAAGTCTCTTCAAGCCATAGTCTTTATAGCGCCCACCACATGACTTTTTCCTGATGGGAGAAGAAAGGGAAGATATTGTAGGATTATGAGACTCGTTGTGAGGGATTGTTCACAGGGCTGACTGTGACTGTAAAAACGTGTAACGCCGACATGAGTATAGAATGAACCATCTCAGAAACAGGAAGGCGATCTCACTACCACTAAGGAATAAGTCAGGAACAGAATGTGTGTAGAGCCTGAGACCTCCTCAACCTGAGAGACAGCTGTGACACCAGAAGCCTGGTAGCCGCTGAACCAAGAGCCAGAGCACATGGCAGGACAGTGGACTTCCCGGTCCCCTGAACAAGGAAAGCTCAGCGCAGGCGGCTTTCTTGGTATGGAAAGCTAGCTTTGCTGACCCTCAGGCTGAGGCTGATAGCAGAGTGGAGTGTCAGCCACGGAGATTTACTTACCAACAGTGCTAAAAGAGCTTTGTCATATTACCTGAGGAGGACAAAAGTCAGCGCACAGGCTTTGCAGAAAAGGGACTGTCTGACCAAAGGACTCTATTCTAAACGTTACACCGTTAACATCCCTAAAAAACACCCCTTAATGATGAGTGTGGTGTGTGTGCCAATTACCATGGGGTGTCAGACCCAGCTGAGAAGTAGAGGATACTTGGTGAGCAAATTTGTCAGAAGGTTGGAGGCCCGGAGTATGTCTGACCTCAGCCTCATAGGAACTGGCTTTGGTCTGATGCTGTTGTCCTCCCACCTTGTGACGTTAGAGGGGTCAGACACTGCCCCTGCATCTGTTTTGCACCATGTCTACTTTCTTTAAGTGGTTTTAGGTTCATAATGAGAATGATTGTTTCTACAGTACATTATTTTAAAGGCTGCTCATTGATTCAAGGGTAGAAAGTATATACTATAAATACCTAAAATAAATTTTAGAAAATAGTCTCATTCAAAAAAATCTCCCTGTAATCAACAGGGACAATTATATCAATGATGTAAATTATTTTCCTCCCTGTGGTTAGGGTTGTGGTGGTGGTTGTTAAGTGTCATGGAGTCGGTTCCGACTCTTAGCAACCCTGCACAGGGTTTCCCAGGCTGTAAATCTTTATTGTTGCTGTTGTTAAGTACCGTGAAGTCAGTTCCAACTCATAGCGACCTTGCACAATCTTTATGGGAGCAGAAAGCCTCCTCTTTCTCCCGCAGAGCCTCTGGTAGTTTCATACTGCTGACCCTGAGGTTAGCAGCCCGATTTGTAACCACTACACTCCCAGAGCTCCTTTGGTTACTTCATCTGATATTGGCTGCCACATGTTATCTCTCAGAGTACCCCAAAAGAAGCCCCTATCACGAACTTGCCAGGTTGTATGTAAGTCAATGATTTTTTTATTTTCTAGACTTTTTTTTCACTGTTCTTACTTTGATGGTTCTGCTCGACCTAAAAGGGTATAAATATTACTGGATGTAAGTATTAACTTAACCTGGAAGAGAGCGCTGTGTGTATATGGTGTTCAGTTTAACCGTTCTCGTCCACAGATCACAGAGCTGTTAGATGTTTCCATGGAGCTTGGCTGCTTCTTGGCTGGAGCACTGATCTCTTCGCAAGGCCACATGGTTACTGAGGAGATCATGGCTTATATTGAACCGATCCGGGACTTTCTGGCCATCATTTTCTTTGCATCAATAGGTAATATTTTTTTCTTTATATCCTAATTTTCAAACTTTATTTGTTAACTGTACTGCTTTTATAAAAATATGTTTCTATTTAATATTTATACAGTGAAGACAGTTCTCATAAAAGTTAACTTCGTTTGTTGTTGTTAAGTGCCGTTGAGTCGGTTCTAACCTATAGTGAGTGACCCTCTAGGGAGATTCCAAGGAGCGACTGGTGAGCTTGAACCACCAACCTTGCAGTTCATGCTGACTTTGCAGTCTAGCACATTAACCCCCAGCGCCACACCAGGACTCCGTTAAGTACATCTTAATTTGGATTACTTAGTCATCAGCAACTTGATTTCTAGAGCCTTTGAAATCTAAAAAAGAGAAAAAGATAGACACTACAGGACATTAGTTAGTTTACTGGCTTTCATGCTTCGGCAGTATTAAGACTGTGTGTTGTTTTTAAGTGCTGTCAAGGTGGTTCTCACTCATAGTGACCTTGTATAGAGTTTCTGAGGAGCAGCTGAGGGATTTGAACCACCAACCTTACAGTTAGCACACCAGGACTCCTGAAGAAGGTATAGATGGTCACTACAGACAACCCAGAAGGCTTCGAGAAGGAATAAGAGCTTCGCTTTTTAGGGTTATGAAGCATGTGTGACTCCAGAGAGGACAGATTTTGGAAACTCAGTATGTTCACAACTTGCATTTAATGAACCAAAATGGTACATTTTGGAGAAAATACTGATTTTGATGCAAAACTCAAATTCAGTGAATTTGAAGTGCGGTGCTCTATATTTGACAAGGTATTCAGAATGGCCAGCCTTGGGGAAGTAGCCTGTCAGTAACAAACTCACAGGAGTTTTTACATTTCCTCATGCATGCCTTTGATGTCTTTGTGCCTGCAAAGTTCTATTACTGCTGTACATATCCAGGGCAATCCCAAACATTTAATATGTAGAGAACCGATTTTAAAATGTGTGTGGAGATGCTGAAGGCCATGACTATCCACGACTATCTGTGACCCAGAACAACGTTAGAATGCATGCACTTTACCAAGGTGAAAGGAAACGACTGCAGGAACTGGTTTACATCTAGGGGTAACCTGGATCCCCCCGGGAATCTGAGCACAGTCAGAGGAGGCCCATTCCAGTGCCCCCCAGCAGAGATTTGACCCTTTCTCTGCCTGTCTCCCCTGTCTGCTGTCCTCTCTCCCTCCCCCTCC